ATTTTTATCACGGGCGCCTTAAACGGTAAGACGACTTTAATTTTTATTTTTTATTTATTTATCTATTTTTAGGTTTGTTTAATTTTTATGTTTTGAGATTTTTTGTTTTTTAAATCGGTATTTTTTACTCTACTTTTCTTGTTTCATCTTGAGTTTCTTCTACATTTACACATTTTTTTCAAAAATTTTAATTTTTTTTCTAAGGCTCAGATAATTGCTGAGCTAGTACGGTCCTGTGTTCAAAATTCAATATTGCGGGAAAAAGTTCGATACAAGATAAAAACCAAACTATTTATTTTTTTTTAAACTAATTGATCAATGAGAAAGTACTATGAAAATGTGACATTTTATCAAGAATACAATTTTTCGAAATTTTATATTCCTTTTGAGTTCTGCAAAATTAATATTTTTTTTTAAATGGCAACCCATTATAAAAGTTTTTTTTTAACCAAAGCTACGATCTAAGGAGTAATTTTCATACTAGTTGCCATTTTGACTAAAAAGTCACAAATCGTATAACACTTATTATTTTATTTATTTATCTATTTTTAGGTTTGTTTAATTTTTATGTTTTGACATTTTTTGTTTTTAATAGGTATTTTTCTCTCAACTTTTCTTGTTTCATCTTGAGTTTCTTCTACATTTACACATTCTTTCAAAATTTTTTCTTTTTTTCTAAGAATTGCATAATTCCTGGGCTAGTACAGCCCAGTGTTCAAAATTTAATATTGCGGGAAATAGTTCGATACAGGGTGAAAAACCGAACTATTTATTTTTTAAAAAACTAAATGATCAATGAGAAAGTACTACATTTTATCAAGAATACAATTTTTCGAAATTTTATATTCCTTTTGAGTTCTGCGAAATTAATATATATATTTTTTTAATGGCAACCCACTATAAAAGTTTTTTTAACAAAAGCTATGATCTAAGAAGTAATTTTCATACTAGTTGCCATTTTGACTAAAAAATCACAAATCGTATAACACTTTAATTTTTTATTTATTTATCTATTTTGAGGTTTGTTTAATTTTTATATTTTGACATTTTTATCAAGCTTTTTAAATAGGTATTTTTTTCTCTATTTTTTTTGTTTCAACAACATTTACACATTTTTTCAAGAATTTTTTTTCTGAGACTTTGCTTACATAATTCCTGGGCTCGTTGGTGCAGTTCGCATTCGCCTCCCCCATGAGATCCCCTGTGACCCACCCTAAAGTCAACCCCACCAGCGTTGTGATAAAATGCGGAGCCAATTCCACCCCAATGTACAACGAAAGGGGCTCCTTCCTCAACTCCTAAAACACACAAATCATTCCAGAGCCCCCCAAAAAACCCCACTTACCAATTTCTGAACCGCTTGATGCACCCTACAGTTGGAATTTTCGAGATAACAATAAAACAACTCATCGATAAATTGCAAATCAGCGATTTTATCACCGAAATAAGACTTTGAGGTGATTTCACTATAGAGACTTTTCGCAAGCATTGTGGAGACATTTTGGATATGTTTTTGAATATTATCACTGACACTCTCACTATTTTTCGTTAAATTCAAATAAACGTAATTCAAATTAGTCGCATTGTCGTAAATCGAATTATAAAAATTGTTTAAATAGTGGTTTTTATGATCGGTTAAGATTAAACCAAAAAGATCAGTTTTGTTTTTGAGGAATGTATGAAGCGATCCTGGGGGCAAACCGTCGCTCGAATCATCAAGATTGAGCCCCCCTTTATTCGCGTGCAATTTTAAGAGAAAATCACTCGGTTTGGCCCCATTATAATAATGCGCCACCACTGTCTCAGTCCAATTCAACTGACTCAATTCAACGAATAAATCAATGTCATTTATTGTGATTTCAGGGAGGTACTCGCCCGATTTGGCCGGAAAATGCCCCTTTAAAAGCTCATAAACGAACCGTTGTGACCCAATATAATCATAACTTTCTCCGTTAAAAACCACAAAAAGTACGTTTTTATCGTAATTGTCACTCTTTGGTAAGATATTTTTAAGTAATTTCGCTGTTGCGAGTAGTGTGACTAGCCCCGTGACGGGCGAAATAGCCCCCGAAGTCTTATCAAACATCGAAGTCGTGTCTAGTCGCGCCCCCACGATGATGTATTTCAAATCGCGGATCGGTTCGGTTAAATTCGCCCCTTTGACAAGGGGGTGCAGCGCCGCCCAGACATTCTGGTCGCCTAAAGGGTCACAAAACCGAACCGGATTCAAATTAGTGACCGCATTTGACCTCCGAATGCAAGTCGAGCTGTTTGTGGCCGCGTACATGAACGAAATCAACTGCAAGGAACATAAAGACCTGTCTCGCTGTGTCCCGAACGAAAAATTGTTATGTTTCTCGAAGCACTCCTTCGCGAATGTGAGACTTTCGGGGCTCTCGACGTAAAACACCGGAAAGGGGATGTCGTGGTATAGGAGACCAGTCCCGTGGGGGTTCCACACGTTCTCCGCTTTGCAGCTGCCAGGGAGGCTCGAGGCGGGGTTGGGGCACTGTTGCTCGTGGGTGAAGTGCTCGAGGGGCTCCTCCGTGGCGTGGACGAGCAAGCCGGAGATTTTCGGGGATTTTTTCATACGGGCGATGTTGGCGGATGTGAAGAGTCGAGTGGGGATGATGGGGACGTAAGGGGGCGCAGTGCCGTTCTTGAGGATGAAGTCCAGGTCGGTTTGGGAGGCGCAGAAGTGGATGGCGCCAGTCGAACCGCCCCTTTCCGCTGTTTGGCAAAGTTGGAGGTCAAGGGGGCGACATTGGGGTACTTACATGTGCAGCCGATTTGATGGGTGGCGTTCAAGCGGCGGAAACAAGCCTTGGAAGCGTCGATGTTCTCGTACATCTTGTCTTTTGTTCGAATTCCATTTCCTGAAACGGGACATAACCTCACTTTTTTGTACACCCTTTTGTTGTATTAAAAAAGTCAATGGGGGGTTTTAGGGACACTCACCGCTCACAAAAACGTAACTCACGATAATTAACCGAAAAAATACTGTCTTTTTATTAAAATCCATCGTTTAACTGTTCGATAAATATTTTTGTCATTTTACTAGTGCCAACATGACGTAAATAAAAAACACCAAATTACTAAATCACCAAACAAAAAATTTATAAATCACATGAGCCCCCTTAAAACAATCAAGTTTTGCCCCGTTACATATCCTCTTGCAATAACCAAAAATACAATTTGTTTTTTAACACAAATCAGCGCCAACCTAAGGTAAATTAAAACACCAAATAACTAACAAAATTTATTTCGCGACTAGTTCACGTGAGCCCCTCTTGAAACGACAAAGTTTTGCCCCCTTGAATATCCTCCTGCATTTCCGTTGCCATTTTGCGGTACTTCGCTGCCAATTCGGGGTTTTTCTCAACTCCTGTAACCAAAATGTTAGCAATTGTCCCACTTGACAGGCCTACCAACCGTCTCCCTTCGCATACATCTGGCTCAGGTTGGCACAACTGTACATGTTCCCCAACTCGCAGCCTTTTAAAGCGAATTTAAATGCTTGTTTCATGTCTTTGGGGACCGTATATTCGATTTTATCACTTGGTGAGTCTTTCTTGGGTGACTTCCGGACCCCCGCTATGTACATCCCTGATAAGTAGTAACATGCATTGCTGTGTTCCGCATTACACGACTTTTCCAGTAGCGACATCCCCTTGAAAATAAAATTTAATCAAAATTTTGGGGAAAATGTTAAAATTACTTTGATGGGGTTTTGGGCAATCCCCTGTTCCTCGTTGCGGGTAATTAGGAGCAAGCCCTGATGGAAGCACGATGTGGGGTCCCCCAATTCGCACCCTTTGTCGAAATAGTTATAAGCCGCTTTAAAATCGGATTTTTTCGCCCCTTTTCCAAGCAATGCATAAGTGGCGTATTTGGAGCAACTTTTCGCATATTTATAATCATCACATGTCGTTTTGTACACAATCCCGGCCTTTTCGTAGTTTTTATCGATGGATTCAAGATAATCGGCCAATAAATGACACACTAAAACCAATTATTATGTGAATTGTTACGAAACGAAAAAAATGAGGTTATGTAATTATTTACCTTCGGCTTTTTTCTCGCTGTAGCAGCCGAACCGGTATTCTATGCCTAAATTTTTGATAAACTCTTTCACTTCACTTTCCGATTGAAAATTGTAACCCATTATTCAAAAAATTGTAAATTTTGGTAGAAGTGAGGATGACGTTTGAGCTACCATGCGCGAGTTTAAACTACTCGAGATAATGATTTGTGAACTACACACAACTATTATTTGATATACTGAGTGTTTGTGGTAAATTGGGAGGGACAGGGAACGTTAGTGTGACACTCTAGTCGTTTCTAGCCCAGTGTTGATTAATTTAAATAGCCCAGATGTGAGGTTATGTTCATTTACCTTCTGGTTTTTTGTCCCTGAAACACCCAATTTTGTACTTGAAGCCAAATTCTTGGACTATTTTTCTTGTTTTGGTGTCACTATTTTGCATCATTGTGTGTTTAAGGTAATAATTTTGTTCAAAAGCCAAATATTTGTTCGGTACATTTGACCTACTTGTGTCAAAAAATTCTTATACAAATACAATTTATTAATACGTATTTAAAAATACAGTTATGAAATTTCCTAGAATGAAGAAAAATTAAAATCGTCTTGTACTCAACATTACTCCTAACAATTTGTTAATCCTTAAACAAGTTTTTTTAACGAAACAATTAACACTCTATCAGTCATAAAAGTAAAAAACGTCCGTTTTGTTAATAAATAATGGAAAAACAACCAAGTTATTGTAAAAATGGGGGCCCACTGACCGGCGAATCCGGGAATCTCTGCATATACCTCTCCAACCTCAAATATTTCACCGTGACTAAATTCCCCGCATACCTACAAAAAAAAAATAACTAGCACGGATCAAAACCCCTTAGTTCAGCTTACCACCACCCGTGCAGATTCCTGTACGCCACCGCCGCATCGCTCGTATCCGCACACTTTAAATACACACAATTCGAATTGGTGTCGACAACGCAGTGCAAAATCCGACACTGTTGTGCACATTTACTCAAAACCGCCTTTTTGATCACGTGGGTATTTCGGTCGCCATCTTCGACCATTCCTCGAATTTTCAAACATGGCGTCGGCGAACATGGCAGACTATTTACAGAGCCGACTTGCGTTTCAAACGCTTGCCCTTGCCAACTTTTATTTTTCGACGTGTTTAAATTAGCCCCGCCTAGCCATCGCCACACCTCCGCGTACTCGCCTTGCACCGCCTTCTCCTCAATTCTGATACGCGATTCGTTCTCTTGAATGTAGCGCACGGCGCGCGCCCACAATTTCTGCTTATCTACAAGTGGTATTAGTGAGAGAGGGTGGGGTAATGGGCGGAGTCTCACTTTTACGTTCGTTGATTGGTAGAATCATGTCGCGGACGTGGTTGATCACCATGTAGTTATCACCGTTTTCGGTAGCATTTGTCTGGAGAATGTCGATAATACTTTCGACAAGCGACATTTCTTCTTCGTGTTGTTTTTGACGGATTTGTTTGTAACACTTGAAGACGTAGTTAAGGGTGTAGACGAGGAGAGCCGCGCCCAGAAGTGACGTCACCAGACTTAAAAACGACCACAAAGTGTTGTAAAAGTAGCAATTCCAGGGGATGTAAGGGTTGCGCGATAGGAGGGCAATGACCTTGGAGCGGCGACCTTCATTCACTTCACTCTGGGGACAAAATTACCAAAAAATCACTACCACCCTGTATATATCATGGCACCCTTGACTAGAAAGTTGACTTTAAGTGTCAAGATTTTGTTTTTGTGTTGTGGAGAGGGGGAAATAAAAAAAATTGTTTACCATATCCCATGCGATGCTGTTTTCGTCGAAAGCAACGTCATTTTTGTTCAATAGTAAGACGTTAATGCCCCACGACGGGTTATGAAACGCTAAAACTTCCAAATTTTGCAAATCGGTCATAATTCGACTTTCTTCCTAGAAAAAAATTAAAATGAATTTTTTTTTTTATTTTTAAAATGTGTAAAAACTCACTTTAATTGCGTAATTTTCGGCGATAAACGTTACAATTTCCTGTTCTGTCATATAGGGTTTAACATTATGATTTTCGCATTTGTTAATCAAAGCTCTTCGATTCAATTCCGGTTTTAAAACTTGCAACAAATGTAATGTAGACTTGCCCTCACCTTCCAAAATACAATTCACGAATCTCTTGCTTTTACTGTTAGATTTAGAACAATGGGGTATCGTAGCTAAAACGAAAAAATAGCTTCAGGAGGGCGAGGAAAAAGCAAACAAAAATTTCCAAATGACAAAACTTTATTCAAAGAGATACAAAAAACGGAAAAAAATCAAGCGACATTTTTAGAGACTCTTAAATAATCGTTTTCTTCCTTACCAGAGACATCCAGGGCCGTATCGGAGCGAATCCCCAAATAGAGAACAGCCACCACGATAAAAAACAAAAATGCGGCCACAAGTACCATAAATGGAACAAAATTGTTCTTGAAAATGCTCTGATTGAAAGGCTTGTAGTCATAAGTGCTCGGGCGCCCCCGGGAAGCCCTATAACTAAATTTTTGATCAGAAATTTAAACCAAAAAACGACCTAAATTACCTGTTGAGGTACGACCGCGATGTGGCACCCCCATTAACATCATTTTCCTTAATTATGTCACTCTTGTAGTCATAAAGCGTACTTTTGGGGCTTTCAGACAATTGAGACAACCTCTTAGTGAAATTACTCAAAAATGGGGTATTTTCCTTGTCTTTTAGTAAATCATCACTCGGGGAATAACTCCGATCAAATCCAGAGTTGTATTGTGACAATCTGGACCTAATCTGGCTGATTCTATCAGAGGCGGCTTCAGCCGCGGAGCTCGCCGAGGCGAAACTCGCCGGTAGCCGACCCGGGGACTCCTTCTTGAAACTCTCAGGTGTCTCTTTGCGAAAACTCTGGAATTTCTCGGCCACTTCGTCCGAGTCCGACCCTGTATCAAACTCATCTTGGGCATTATGCAGTATTTTCATCGTTCTGGTGGTCGTGGTCGAAGTCTTGATCTCCTTGCGAACGGGGGCTTCCTCGTCGCTCGCCTCAATGGTGGTTTTGCGTCTGGATGGCGGATGCAAGGGGGCTGCCATCGTCTGGCGACGTAACTTGTCTTTTTTCGACGATTTGGCGTCGCTGTCGCTCTCGTCTTCGCTCGAGTAGCGCCCCAACGAGCGGCGGGTGTCTTTACCGATCTTCGTTTTGTTCTCAAGGAGCATTTTGAGTTTTTTCGCCATGGTTTTGCGAGTGGTACCCGTGATGGGCATCACCGGAAAGCCGAATTCGATGAGTTTTGAACGCAACTCGGCGTCGGAGAGGTTATCCACGTCCACCATCTGCGTGAAAGAGTTGGGTCGAGGCGGTTGAGGGTAATTGGGGGGCTTACCTTGCGTTTTGGGGTTTTTACATCGAAGGAATGGCGAGTGGGGCGATCTTGAGGCGCGGTGTACTAACAAGGGGGCACTTTTGCACTGGTTTTACACCTAATTCTATGCGATTTTTGACTTAAAAACTAACGAAAAGACCAAGCGTCGGATTTCCTAAAATAGACATGACGTTACAAAATTACACGAGGTAGAGGGCGCTGCAAAAAGCCGGTTTGAAATGGAAGTGGATAAAGACACAACTTCATTTTTATTAAATTTACAAACGTTAACAGCATAAAAATGCCAAAAATAGCACGACATTACTTTTGTGAAAACAATAATTATATAAATTTAAAAAAATTGATCATTTGAAGTTTTTAAAGTTGTGTTAAATAATGCACAAGGTAGTAAGTTTAGAGGTTGGTACAGCTGAATGCTGAACGCAAAAATTTATTAAAAGAAATAAAATTAAAAAAAGGTATCTGACTATTGCGTTTAAGCTCATTTTCCAAGCTGTAGTGTTTTTTCAAGCGATGGTTAATTAGAAATAATTTATTTTTTATTTGACATTTGTTTTTCACTAGATGTCAGTTAACGTTGGTAATGTTTATATTACCAAATTTTGTTTTTACTGGAACGCGTCTCTTATTTTTTGTGTTATTGTTTTTTAAAGAAAAAAATGAGAATTTTAAAGTATAGTTGGTGAAAAGTGGTAGTGTTTTGCACACACATGAACTGATATTTGTGATTGTGCAGTGTGCAAATGAATTCTGAGGATTTTTTCATGTTCGCCACCGAAATTTCGAGAAATTGGTAAGTAACATATTTCCAAGTTTCCTGTGGGATCCCCCAAAGGAAATCGCCACCAATGAAATTTTTATTTCTTCTTTAAACACGAAATGTCGCACAACTTCTACATTTATTAATTTTGTAAAAAATTGGTTCCAAATTAGGCGTCTTAAAAATAAATAAAACAAAAATATTGAATGTGATTTTGCCAGCGAATGATTTACTATTTATTGTCTCAATTAAAGCAGTTTTACAATAAGCTCCACAAATAATTCAATTAAAAGAGTCCATTGTAATTTTTGGTGGTCCGACTCTTTTGTTTTCGTCTACTATTTGTTTCTCCTCTTCTCTGAAAAACACAATATTTTTATGCAACTCTTTCCTCATTTTGACTAAAATGGAATTATTATTACAAATAAGACATGAAAATTGTTTATACTGTTCAAAGTCCCGACATCCATTGTGCCCCCAAATTCTTTAAAAACACACTTTTTCGGTACAAAATCTAACAAATCGGGAGCATTGTTATGAAAATAAATCTGAAAACAATATTTTTACAAAAAAAAACATTGTAAGTGCAAAAAATTGCCTTTGACATAATTTCTTCTTTCACTAGTGGTTTTATTAACTCCGTTATATTGGACACTATGTTATCCTCAAAACCATGAATATTGAAACAGTGTATCTTATTTACTTTAAGAGGAATCGCTTCTTGCAAATAGAATAAGATTTTCTTCAAAATTGAAGTCTCCAATTTGTCTAAATGTTCCAACGTAGCACCAGTGATGTCCAAAATTACAAAATACTCCTCAAATGGTTCTCCTTTATTGAAATGTAGAGAGCAAACCATATCGAAATATTTTATAAATGCAATAAAATCAAAATTTTTGGGATCAACTTCCCACAGTTTCATACAAATGTAACCTTGCCTTTTCTCAGCTATAAATGTGATAAATCTAAAGACAATTGATATCAAAAACAATTAATTCAAATAACTGAGGCTTACGCAAGTTGCAAATGTTCCATCAGAGGCAATTCCGAAACATCTCGTCCTGTAAATAATTCAGGACACAAAGTCCGAATAGTAAAATACGAATCAATTAAATCTCTTGCCATTTCTTCATTAAAATCACAACAATTCAAAAAGAAACAAGCTTGAGCGTCTGAAAAAAAAGTAAAAATGCGACCAAAAATCACAAAAACGCACCATTAATTTGAGGTAAGTGAGGCTGGGTTGTGTTCACCCAATTTTTAAWTTTTTTTTCCTTGTTTTTCGCGCCTGTAAGAACTTTGAGTATTCCAGAAGCTGRAAATAATTGCTCTCAAATTTTAATCYCACGTTTCAATAAGATAATTAAACTCACTATTTATACTAGGTAATTCAGGTGCAACGAAAACGTGCGATTCTAAAAAAAATATTTTTTTGTAATTCGCGAAATTATTACTACTTACTACAATGACTATATAATCGATGAAAAGGTGAAGATTTACCACTGTATTTTAGAGCGTGATACGCTTGTGATGAAGCACATAACACACGACTACTTGGTAAAAATTCATTTTGATAATCAAGTGAATCATTTTGATAATCAATTGAATCATTTTGAGAATCAATTGAATCATTTTGAGAATCAATTGAATCATTTTGTTGAGGTTTAACAACAACCAAAGAAGTGATTGAAGTCACGAAAGAATATTTCAAAGCCAAATCAAGCGCTTTTTTAGTCAATTCATCGCGATTTTCGGCCGTTTCTCGCTCATCTAACAACTGTTTGACTGTTAAATAGGCCCAAAGTCGCTCTAAAGAAGTGTCACTTTCGGCATTGTGTGTCTCAAATTCGACACAACCGTTGAGAGAAAAAGCCTCAATGTGTCTCAAAGGTCTTGTCCCCCCTTTAACAATATTGTTAATTTTTTGTTTAATGAATTTGGAAGTGAGTACCGCATCTTCCAGCTACTATAAATTCCGATCCTAAGAATAAAATAGGGAAATCAATTCGAGTCACATCTGAGACTTCGTCGACATATTTAAATCGGACATCCCTCAACAAAGGGGAGGAAACTGTGCGATAGAAGCTTTGTAATTGGAGGGAGGCATCAGCTGCTTCGTAGATGTGTCTCGARAAGCCCAAATTTTGGGCTGACAATTTTTTTAGGAAATTTTTATGGGCGTCTTCGCCGAAAGATAGGGAATAAATGGCAGCCCTGTTTGTTCCTTGATTGATTTTAGTCACAATTTTGGTAATTTTGTCCGGGTCACTGATACCAACATTGGGCAAACCATCGGTGAGGAAAATAATCATTGGTTGGTGTTTAGTTGCTACATTTTTTTCGTAGAATTTCGCCAAAGTTCGGCGCACTAAAAAGAGACCGACTACCAACCCCCCGATGATATTGGTACACCCCAACTCCACATCATCATTTTTGATTTTTTTAGCCTCTTTAATATTGTCTTCAGTCACTGGAGTCGCTTCCCCCAATTCCAATTTCTGCAAACAARAATCATTTTTTGCAAAAATTAGAAAAATCTTACCGTTAGAAACGAATCAAGATTTTCATAATCCGGTTCTTGCTTGAAACGAATTTCATCAAACTTATTTTTAGCCAAATTCCAGACTGAAACATTGTCAGAAAAGCGCACAATATGAAACAAATCTTCCGGGTTTAAATCGGACAWAATTTTGTCCATTGCTTGCATCAATTGTTCGATTTTGCGCCCCATCATGCTCCCACTGTGGTCCAGGACGAAAACCACGTRTTTTGGAAGCGTTTTGAGGCCACTGGGGGCGAAAAAATGAACGAAATAGCCGTCACGTAGCAAAACCTTGAAACAATTTTTCAAAACAAAAAAATTAAATTCGRTGATTTGGTACTTCGCCCCCTGTYGGGTCYCTTTCCACGTCATACTGGACCACAAACTGGCCCGCAAGCCCTTTATCCTTACTCCCGAGCGCMTCYGCATATTTTTTCTGCTGCTCTTTATCCGGATTGAATTTAAYTKTAGCAGAATTCGGATTTAGCATTTCTGTTTGGGCACAAGGGTCCAATTCGGGCTTATCGTCACTTATTTCGTTCCCTGTACGTAATGAAGGGGTTTTSACGAAGGTYAAAGGTCGYGTTTCGTTGATTTTTACCTCAAAAATGGCACAATTAAGCCAAAATGATTAAAATGAAAAACTYTRTTACTTCCAAACGGAGATCATCGACGATTTGGCCCGGATGTACGTTGATAATAAGTTCGTATTGRCCATTTTGGCGTTGCAAAAGCTCCTCATATGTCAGTCTGAAGATGGTTTCACTAGACGGTTCGATATTTACCGAAACGGTGAATTTTTTCGAATCGCGAGCGTTTAATTCGACATGGGCTGCACTCAACCCACTTGAAACGGCCTAAGTTTTATTATTTCTCAAATTCAACAAATTGAAATTAATTACGATTAATTAAATACCTCTGTATAGATTGTTTTAGCTTCGTCTTTCTCTTTCACATACGCGTTGTATATTTTTCCATCAATTTCCATTTCGAATTCTGAGATGAAAGCATTTTCGGGTAAAATGACCGAAAATGTGGTTTCCTCAGCTTTGGTTTTCGAATTTTTTACTTTACTTGTGATTAGRGTTTTGGCAAAACGATTACTTATTGTCGTTTCAATATGCAATGAATAGATTTTAGGAGACATCTTAAAATTAAAAAAAATCAGATATATAACTCGCAAAATGAAATAAACTACTTACTTCTGTCGATTCCATTGTGAACACGTAATAAAAATTAAAAAAATTGGTAATACACTTTCTGTATGTACTCTTGGTGTAGCTATCCTCTTGTGGATGAGGACACCAAAAGTGCCAAAAGCATCAAGAGTGCGGAGCTTCGCGCAGGCGTATAATACCTTATAACAAAAACACAATAATTATAAACATTAGAACACTAAAACTTTGAACAAAACACTGCGTATTTGGCGCCGCACAGTCGGGGCGGGCAGGCTGGGGCGCCGCCGCCGAGCGAGAAGAAGAATACCCGTCGATCGATTAAATTCGTAAACTCTATGACTTCCAAATGTGGGATAGGCGTTTTTATGGAGTTTTTAAATTCATTCGCCATGATATTTACACTTATCAACTGTGAACAGTGAAAATAAAATTTGGTTTTTTATTGTTATTTTCAATTTGCACAAGAAAATTCATAGTTGGCGTAAGTCTTAGCTTCAACTTAATTCTAAAATTCATAACAAAAATCCCCTAAAAAATAATTGTGCAATATTGAGTTATTAAGTAAAATATAAAAATTTGCTCTAAGATGGCGCTTTTTTGACGTTTCGTTCCACGTACCAAAAAAACTGTTACACAATTGGCTATGAAAAAATTATTATTGTCAAAATACATTTATTACAATAAAATAAATCAATAAAATCATCTTCTGTTACTTTAGGTGGCCCAATTCTCTTATTCTCATTAACTATTTGTTTTTCTTCCTCTTTAAAAAACGGAATCTTGTCAGACAACTTCTTCTTGGTTTTCTCTAGAATTTATTTATGATTACAGAAAAACACAAAATATTCGTACCATGTAAAACTTTGCATTTTACTGTACCCCCATATTCCACAGGAAGACACTTCATTGGTACATTTTTTAATAAATCATGTACATCGTTCTGAACATGAACCTAAAAATACTATATTACAATCGAGTAGGAGAATATGACATGTAAAGCCCAAAAGATAATGACATTCCCATCGAGGTTTATATACTATTTTATTTACAATCACATTTCGTTTAATACAATAAAAATAGCACTGTAATGCTATATTTCTCGACCTCCACAAGGTTAGAAATCGGCATAGTACTATAGTGATTGTGAATAAAGTTTTTCCAAAAATTATTATGCGATACTTTTCTCACCTTAGACACAATTTGTGTCCTTATAAATGGTTTTATTAAGGCCATTATGTCATCACACAAAGACTTATTATTTAAACAGTGTATCCCTTTTACTTTAAGAGGGATGGCTTGTTGCACGTAGCACAAGAATTTTTTCAAAACTGAAGTCTCAAATTTGTTTAAATGATTTTTGGTTAAACCATCCAAATCCAAAATAACCAAATACTCTTCAATCAGTTTTACCTTATTTATATAAAAAGAACAAACCATATCGAAATATTTTAAAATCGCAACATAATCAAAATTATTTGGATTTGGGTCCAACAATTTTACCAAAATAATTCTTTTTCCTTGAGGTGTTTTTTCAGGGAGGAAAGCGATAAGTCTGCGAACAATTTTTACAAAAACTATAATTGTAACCGTGAAAGTTATTAAGCAACATCCAAACTTTCCTTAAGAGGCGATTTCGAAACATCTCTTCCTGTAAAAAATTCAGGACACAAAGTCCTAATCGTAAAGTATGAGTCAATTACACTTTTTGCCGTTTCTCTGTTAAAATCACAAGAATGTAAAAATAAATTTGCTTGTGCGTCTGAAAAGAAGTGTTAAAAATTTGACCAAAAATAACAAAATCGATTCCATTGTGAACAAGTAACAACAATAAAAAACAATCTTATCACTAAAACAAATCTTATCGGTAAAAATTACCACAGGTGTGGCTGTTTGAAGCACCTTCTTCCTGTACCAAGTAAAATAATGAATTAATTCGCGGAACCAAATTTCTGTAAATACTTGAACGAATAAAAATAATGAGAATTCACTTCAATTAGTTTCAATATACCAGGTGAATAAAAAGTATGGAACCAAACGTTTTTTGCTTAAACTATTTATTTTTTGAAAAAACTAATTGATGAGTGATAAAGTACTATAAAAATGTGATGATTTAACAAGAATAAAATTTTTCGAAATTTCCGTTTGTTTTTGAGTTCTACAAGAAAAATTATTTTTTTAAATGGCAACCCACTATAAAATCATTTTTCTCATAAAAGCTATACTCTAAGGATTACAGCTATCTGCTTTATATTTAATTTTTTCAGAAAATTTTTTTCACATAAATTGCAATTTTGACAAAAAAAATCGCATAACTCAAAAATAAAACAAAATTTCGTTCTGAAAATACGATCACATTTTTTATATTACTTTACTTTATATTAATTATTATTTTCTGGGGGCAAATGATTAAAAATAAAACTGCTTGGTTCCATACTTTATTCACCCTGTATGTAATAATGTTTATTAATTTTTGGACCATAATCCAGGCTGTTTCGTTTTTATTGTTACAAATTTAAACATGTGTCGAAAAAAATTAAATAAGGGAGCAACATCCCCTGAAAGGGGTACATCTTTTAATAGATTTTTTCAAATATTTCAGCATCCATTGTAGATAAAATTACAAAATTTTGTACAACTGATAATATTTATACACCTAAAGGAATTTAAAGGTAAAATGTCAACATGTCCTAAACTGGGAGGGTTTAGGGTAAAAGTACCATAACTATTTTGACTATTGGTTCTCGCCACTTTCGGCCAGAAAATTCTAAATTCCTAGTTATTCACAAAAAAAGGTCTCTTGCATTTTTTCGATACAACTTACCGTTGTTGAGTAAAATCAATTTACAATTTGTCTTACAAACCCTAAAGAAGATAAAAATTAAATTTGTTTCACTGTTTAAGACACCCGTGATTAAAAATTTCGACAACTGATCTTTAAATTCGTTCAAGTGTTTAAAAGTAATCAGCTGTACTAACTTTTGTCATTTTATCTAGTCTATCACCTGTTTAAATTTGTAACAATAAAAACGGAACACCCTGTATATTTGTTATTATTTACACTTTTTATATGAGAGTACAAACCGTTCGTTAACTGGTTATGCACTGACAAATTCGCCAGCTTATCACCATTTTATACGGCTTGTGATACGCAGTCTCAATTTCGCAGAATTTGTTTCTAAAATTGGCATAGAAAAATAAAGTTTGTAAATGTTTACCTTCTTGGCAATTTATGTGTTAAAACAGACTTAAAAGTAATAAAAAGTGATAACTTTTAATAATAATAATTATTGCGCAATATTGTGAAAAAACGAGTTTAGTTTGATGCACTTTCAGTTATAAGTCTATGTGTTAAGTAATTAATAAAAAAAAGTAATAACTTGTCAATGTATTTTATTTTCATAAAAATACATAATAAAATATTTTCAAAATTTTGAACGTATCACACAGGTTGGTCATTTGTTTTAAAAATGTACAATATTTATCACAACTTCAAACTCGTGTAAAATCAACAGTTTCTCTAAATAATTTACATTACGCTACAAAATATCTAAAGAGTTAAGTCTTTGGTTTCTGCTACGATGTCTATCGATGTTTGGCAATGCTTCCAGACGTAGAGGCTTTCGGGGAGTCCCCTCTGAAATATCCTTTAATTAATTAAGGAAAAAAACCGACAGTTGAGGTACAAACCATTAACCCATAAATTATTTAAGCTAGAATTCAAATTCGGGGGTCTCCCGGGACGCTCCCCGTCGTGTTCTTCGGCCGCTTTCGGCTTGTTCCGTCGCGCAAAATCTGCAAACGTCATTGATCCTGGTCTAGTTTAGCAAATTTTTGAATTTCCCGCCGCCGACTTACCCCTCCACGTGCTGATAACCCGATTGGCATCGATCCGTGACGATTGACTTAACAATTCCGCTGCTCGTTTCGTCGTTGGAGCGAAATAACTTCCGATTATATCCTCTTTCTCCGACTTTTCCAATTTCTGGAGACAAATCCATCAATTACCCACACGCAACTTCGGTTTTTCCCCCATTTAAACCGATAATCTTACCTCGGTTATAACCGGCCGGAAATGGTCGACTCCTGGTGCGGCATGCATAAAAAATGGCTGTGCATTAATAAACTAAAACGCGATTGGTTGATTGACGCAAGCCCCGCCCACTCAACGAAAAGAAGCCAATAAAAAGAAACTAAGAATTTTGATCACCTTTTCCAAAAAATCGTTATCGAACGAATCGTCGTCGAGAGATTCTTGTAATCGGGCTGGAGCTGTTTGTATATCGTGTAAGCGACCTAAACACAGCCGTTAGGACGCGTCACGTGACTAAGGGTGACTTACCGGGTGGGGGAAGTTTGGTTCGGGGGGTTATCAAGTCGGGGAGTTTGTACTTCTGGACGTCCTCCAACCATACCGCTTGCTCTTTGATGCTCTCCAAATTGCTGCAAAAATGAAGAAAGTCAAGAAGAAACCAAGGAATTGACAAAAGAAGGAGAAATTGGGGAAAAAATAAATAGATTGAAAAGAATGAAAGAAGAAATTTTGAAGAAAAGTTAAAGAAAAATGAAGCAGCAAGAAAATAAAAGAAAAACCAGAATAAGAAATATAGAAAAAAATTACAAGAAAAGAGAGGATCCAAAAATAAAATTTTTGAAAAATAAAGTAAGAAAAAGGCAAAGTTTCCGGATAAAAAGAGAGAAATGAGGCAAGAATTTCTAAGAAAATAAAAAATTATTGAGAAAAAATTAAGTTTAGTAAAAATTTGTGAGAGAAAAAGAAAATTTAAAGAAAAAAGTTTTGAAGAAATCGAAAAAAATACGGGTCAGAATTTAGACAAAAAATAGAAGAATCATTTGAAACCTTTTGGATAAAAAAAGAGAACAGAAGAAAAAATATTGAGGAAGAGGAATTAAAAAAAAATGAAAGTAAAAAAAATCACTAAACTGGAAATTGAAAAAAAATTGAAAATAAATCAAGGCAAGCAAACATCTAGATAAAAGAGAGAACAGAAGAAACAATTTTGAAAAAATAAGAAGAAAAGTTGAGGACAAAAATCATAGTAGAATTAAAGATATTAAAAAATAAATCATCAAAGAACTGAGAAATGAAAAAAATCAGAATAGAAGTATTGGAAGGATTTATTATTTTCTATTTTTTTTATAGAACTTATTAATTATCAGAAGAAAAAAAAATCCAAAGAAGAAATTTTTGAAGAAATTGAGAAAAAGAGAGGACTCAAGAAGATATTTCAAAGAAATCCATAAAAGAAAAAATTACAATAGGATTAAAAATACAATAAAATAAATTAGCGAAAAAAAGAAAAAAAAGACGGAAAAAATCAGGTTAGGAACACCAGATATATTTGTAAGAGGAAAAAAGAATCTAAAGAAGAAATTTTTGAAGAAATTGGAAAAGAATACGTCAGAATTTAGACAAAAATGAGAAAAGAAAGAGAGAAAACAGAACAAAATAATTTTAAAGAAATTATGAGAGAAATTAAAAAAAATGGAAGTAGAATAAAGAAAACTTTTTAAAAAAATTAAAAAAAATAGAATAGAAGTATAGGAAAGATTTATAAGAGAAAGGAAGAATTTTTGAAGAAATTGAGAAAGAAAATGACAAAATTTAGATAGAAATTAAAGAGGAATCATATCGATTTGGGAAACATCTAATTAAAAAGAGAGAACAAAAGAAGATATTTCGAAAGTGTCCAAAAAAAAAAAACAAAGAAAAGATCAAAATAAAATTGAAGATACAAACGTAATAAAATGAAAAATATAGAAATAGAAATAAATCAGTCCAAAAATGAAAAAAAAATTAAGGTAATAGTCAGGCTAGAAGAATATTTTGAATTTGTAAGAGAAAGAAAGAATCTCAAAAAGAAATTTTTAAAGAATAAAAGGACAAAGTTTGTATAAGAAACAGAAAAATCATTTGGATGTCGGTAACATCTGGATCAGAAAATAAAACAGAAAAATTTAAAGAAATCAAAAGAATAATTTAAAAAGATCAAAATAGAATCGAAGATATAACAAAATCAGTCAGCAAGGAGATGAAAAAATATTTCAAAGACTCAAAGAAGAAAGGGACAAGAACACGTTACCTGTAGTTGCACTCTTTCTTCAAAGTAGCGGCAATTTTGTCGCTAATCTGCGCCAAAAGCTTGATATGTTGATCTTGCTTTCTTATCGTTTCAAGATAATCTTGCCTTTCTGCCTCAAACTCGCTCTGAATGTCGGAAATTTCCTTCTCAAGTGCTTTAACTTTGTGCCTATATCTTCTCAAAGCTTCAGTTTTAAGATTAAGCTCTTGACTGATATCTTTATACTGATTGTGAAGAATCTCTCTATCTTCATTCATATCAATCTTTGCGAGAAGATGCGCAATGACACTTGCCCGTTTCTCCGCCGCCAATTTCTTCCTCTTTCTTCTTTCCGACAACTCTTTATCATTGGCCTTTTCTCCGCCAATCATCGCATTCTTCATCGCTTCAATCCGACTCAAGATTTCTTCCTTCGAACACAACTCTTTCTTCTTCTTTTCCTGAATCTCACTGTTGAGTTTTTCGATGTTTTTCTCGTATTCTTCCTTAATTGACTCGATTTGTTTCAGGACGTTTTCTTTTTCGTTTTTCTCGTTTTCGTGGAGGTTTTTCAATTTTTCCATTTCTTGTTGGTACTCCTGGATCAGACGATCGCGTTTCGCGTCCAAATCGGAGTTCGAAGAAATTTCAATCTCCTTCACTTCTTCAATCTTCACTTGTTGGCCCAACAGACTCTTTAATCTTTCGATTTCTTCCTGATATTGTCTCAACATCGTGTCTTTGGGGTCTTCGTTAACTCGGGGTTTGTTGTGAATGTTTTTCGCTCTGTTGGCATACCTGAGGGTTGATAAAGTTTCGACGTAGTCGCGACTGGAGGGGCTGATGCAGGCGATCATCAGTGTTCGGGTGTTTCCCCCCAAGGAGTCCTAAAAAAATTAATTAGCTTTGGGGGTAAAAAACGGTTAAAATGCTCTACGACCTGTAGCAATCTCGTCAATTTTGAATCCCTGTAGGGTATATGTTTGGCCTTGCCGTCCACTAGAGCCGAAATCACGTTACCTAAGGCACTCAAGGACAAATTTATTTTGGTCGCTTCCTTTAACCTGTCTCCGGTAGCCCCCGTCTTGGCTTGTCTTTCCGACCCCGCCAAGTCGACCAAATTCAACTTCCCCTTCTTGAAACTCTCATTGTTGTTAACATTGGTGATTTGTTCAATACTTATAGTGAAAATACTATGTGACCTTGAACTGTTCTGATTCATGAGAGTTGCCCCAATAATGCGATTTTTCGACCCTAGACTCAAAAAGTGCTCACATTCGGCGGCATTATGCACAGGGTGTGAGGTCAATCCCGGGACAGTGACCCCCTCAGTGGGGCTCTCCTTCAAATTAAGAGCATTATTCGCGATTTTGTCACTCGGTAATAACAAATCGCGGATTTGCTCGTTGTAAATCTCGAGGTAGCTGATGAGGGCTAGATATTTGACCCCAGTGGTGACTGAAATGGCCTCGAAGATGTGCTCGAAGGCCCGCGAGATGATCCCTTTTTCGGGGCCCGATTTTTCGCCCTCCATCGTGTGGGATTTCCCGCAGCCGGTTTGGCCGTAGACGAAGATGGTGGCGTTGTAGCCTTCGAGGACGCTCTGGAAAAGAGGGTTGGAGAAAAGGGGGGAGGAGTATGGGGGTTACCTCGACAAGGGGGTAGCAAATGTCGTTGTAGATCATTTCGGTGGTGGAGTCTTGGTCGTAGGTTGAGTCGAATGTAAATTGTTTGGGGAGTGAGGGACCTTCCGAGGGGTCCCATGTTTCGACCATGCAGTTTTTCATCTTCACGACACAGTCGCAGTTCAGGTCTTGTTCTTTCTTGTTCATGGGGCGACATCGCACGATCACTTTTACGTTTTCGGCCATCTTGGACTCAGGTCATGCTAAAAAGGGGTGGTGTAAAATCTAAAAGAAAAATTAAGTCAAGGAAAAAGCACAAAAAAATAAAAATCTAGTAAAAAAGAAAGACTAAACAAGCGAAACAGACATACTATGAAACAAAGAAAGGAATGAAAAAAACAAAAAGAAAAACAAAAATTAAAAGAGAAAAAAAGAAAGCAACAAACTCAAATATAGAAAGAGAAAGCACCGAAGAAAGCAAAAATTAAATAAAAAAGAAAGACTGAAATAGAAAAAATCAGATTAAAAATAGGTGTAAAAACAAAAAATTAATTTAGCAAGTGAAACAGACAGAATATAAAACAGGAAGAAGTGAAACAAAAACAAGAAGAAACAAAACTAAAAAGAGAGAAAAAATACACGAAAACAGAAAACAAAGAACAAATTTTTGAAAAAATTAGGAAAGAAAATGACAAAGTTTAGACAAGAAATAAAGCAATCATTTGAATCTGGATAAAATGAAAAAATAAAGGAATGGATTTCTAGAAATTTAATAATTCAAAATAGAGGTAAAGATATTACAAACTAAAATCCAAAGAAGAAGTTTTTGAAGAAATCGGGAAAGAGAAAGACAAAGTTTAGGTAAGCACAAATGGATCACATGGATTTGTAAAACATCTGAATAAAAAGAGAGAACAAAAAATATTTTGAAAAAAGTCCATAAAAAAAACAAAAATGTTTCAATATCAGCGAAAAAATGTAGGTAAAGGAAAAACTAAGATAGGAGTATGAGATGAATTTGTAAGGGAAAGAGAGAATCTAAAAAAAAAGGTTTGAAGAAATCAAAAAAGAAAAAGAGAAAAACAGAAGATTAGATTGGCAACATATGGATTAAAAGAAAGACCACAAAAATATATTTTGAAAAAAGCAAAAGAAGAAACAAGAAACAATCAAAATAGAATCGAAAATATAACAAAATAAATCAGCAAAAAAATGGAAAAATATTAAAATTTATTTAACAAGCCAAACAGACAGATTCTGAAACTGGAAGAATTGAAACAACAAAAACAAAAAAGAGAAGAAATATAAAAACAAAGATAAAAGCAAAAAACACAAATATCTAAACGAAAAGAGTAAAAACAAGAAAGAAATTTTTGACGAAATCAGGAAAGAAAATGACAAAATTTACACAGGAAATAAAGCAGTCATTGGAAAAGAGAAGGGACAAATAAATTTTTATGAAATAATTAACTCAAAGTAAAGAAAAGGAAATAAAAATTAGTAAGAAAAATCAAAGTAAGTGTAGAAACTTTAAATGAAAGAAAGAACTTAAAAAAAGAAGAACTAGGAATTAAAAAAAATAAAACTAGAATTGAAAAAAATTATTAAAACGGCAACTGGAGCAAATAGAGAAGAAATCAAAACAAATATCTAAGTAAAAAGAAAGAAAATGCAAAGTTTTCAAAGATTGAGAAGAGTTAAAGAAAAAAATCTGAAGACTTTACAAAATAGCTAAATTAGCAGTAAATAAAAATTTAAAAAAATCAAAAGGGAAAGGTTAAAAAAACAAAAAACACAATTTTTTTACGAAATCAGGAAATAAAATGACAAAATTTACACAGGAAATGTAGAAATCATTTGGATCCGGATAAAAAAAGAGAAGGGAAAAATATTTTTTTAAGAAATAATTAACTCAAAGTATAGAAAAAGAAATAAAAATTAGTAAGTGTAGAAATAACTTTAAATGAAGGAAAGGACTTAAAAAAATTTTTTTGAAGAAATTAAACTAGAAATTAAAAAAATAAAACTAGAATTGAAGAAAACTATTAAAACTGCAACTGGGACAAATAGAGAAGAAATCAAACCAAATTTCTAAATAAAAAGAAAGAAAATAAAAAGTTTTCAAAGAATGGGAAGAAGAGTTAAAGAAAAAATCATAAAAAATTGAAGACTTTACAAAATAGCTAAATTAGCAGTTAATAAAGAAATTAAAAAAACAAAAGGGAAAGATTTATAAAAACAGAAAAAAAAAACAAAAAAAGACAAAATTTAGACAGAAATTAAAGAAACCATATCGATTTGGAAAACATCTACTTAAATAAAAACAGAAAACAAAAAATATTTTGAAAAATTTTAAAAAACAAGAAATTTCAGTGAAAAAATGTGAGATAAATTTGTAAGAGAAAAAGAGAAGCAAGTTTTGAAGAAATCAAGAAAGAAAAAGTTTCTGGATCGACTGAAAGAACAGAAAAATGTATTTCGAAAAAATCAAAAGACGAATTAAGAAAAAAATCATAATAAAATCGAAGATATAAACAAAAATGAATCAGCAAAAAAATGAAAAAATTTAGCAAGCGAAACAGATAGATTATGAACCAGGAAGAAGTGAAACAAAAAAGAAAAGAAAAACAAAACGAAAGAAAAAAAGCAACAATTACAAATATCGAAACTGAAAGACCGAAAATTGCCTGAAACGAGCCGACAATTAGCATTTCAAAAAAAAAACTCATAAAATTTTCAAAAATCGAAGTTTTTTCTCTGTTTACCCTCACGCGACGTGACATTTATGTAAATATTTTCTTGCTACGGGGTGGAATTAGTGTTAATTGAGTGCACGGGTCCGTTAAATAGGGCAAGGTTACAACCGCCCTCTGATAAAATGCCCCCCTTGTGAATAATCGATTGTTATTAAATGACTTGAACTTGAAATGAGTGGTCACTACGGGTTACTAGACTATCACAACACATTAATTCTCGTGAAAAAATAATGAAAAAGTGATAACACAATCATTAAATAGAAGCAAGACGTGAAGGGTATTTTCTGGGAGACTTACTCTTAGTTGTTTACAAAAAGAATGATGGTAGGAAAATGTGCGAAAGCTTTAGAACACCCATCATGGTCGATGGTAGCGACCGAACTGACCATCGGACATGCAAAAGCGGCGACCTGCGCTCCGGAATTCGGATCGAATTCCAGAAAAAAGGGTGAAAATTGATTCGACACGGAGTTTTCTTCGGAATTTTGCTAATCACGTCATGTTTTTTTTATTGTGGGGTTGTTTGCATTTCAAATTTTTGTCTGGGGCGTTTTAAAAGTGTTTGTAGTGTTGTTATGACCCACTTTCCTGCATGTGGGACTTAATAACACACATAAACCCAACAATGGGGTCTCTAATCTATTGAATTTCCTCGTTACATGAATTTTCATTCGATTGAAATTGATTTTAGTCCCTTTGAACGTTTCTAATAATGTTACTTCGCAGAAAGAGTGTGAATCAGGTTTAAATTTAACACATGACGGTATTTCAACCCCATTTTGTGACTGGAGAACTGAACAAATACAATACTGGACTTAATTTATGCATTCGCAGTATACAATATTTAAGAAAATTGATTTTTCTATTCATATTTGAATCAGATTAGAATATTGATAAATTCAAATTTGGCGGCCTTGACGTTAGTGACAATAATTAAGCAAAATATAGTTAAAAAAAAGGAGTAAAAGGGAAACTTTGGTTGGTTTCGATGACTAAATTTTGTGGTTTTATACAATTGGAAATTGTATTCGAAATTCGTTTTTTTTAACTTGACCCAATAACGTTTTATGCACTTTTTTGAGTCTCTAAGACCTCTAGAAATTTAAAAACGTTATATGAATCTTAATGTCGAAATTTTTTTTGATTTTTGTCGAGATTTTGGTCGATTTTTGGCACCCGGAGTGGTCTATTACCAATAACTCCGAACTTATTGGTGATAATTTCCTATATTTGGGACCGTTGGAAAGAAAATTTAATTTTCTATGATCAACAAAGAAAATCAATGTTCTACGGTAAATAGTTATCGAGAAAATTTCTGATAAAATCAAAAAAAAAAAATATGAAAAAAATTATAAATTAAAATATTGAAAGTTTCAACAAAATAAATTTATATTTTTTTTACTATGTATATATTTTATTTATTTTATCCTTAATAAAAAATATTTTATTAGTGTTTATTTTTTGGAATTCAATTTTTTCCCCTCAAGTTTTAAAACTTGATTAAATTTATTGAAAAACATGAAAAAACCCCGAAACTAATTAAGTAATTGATATTTTACGTTTCCGTAACATTTTTTGGCAAAAAATGTGAGCTGAGATTTACTTTGCTCAAGCGGAGCTTGATCTCACCTTTTTTCCATTTTATCAAAAAACGACTAAAAAAGCCTTAATTTTTTTGAAGCAGACCAAAAATGCAGCATTTCAAAAGTACAAAGTAAGTTTTAATCACATTTTGTTTGAAAAAACACAATTTAACAAGGTGCGAGTTAAAAAAGGTGGGCGCATTGTCGTTCAAATTGCGCAAGTGCGTCATAATTTGAATTTGATTGGTTGTTTGTATCACGTGGCTAAAAAGCGGTGTGTGATTGGTGGGTTAAGAAAACATGAAAATGATGTGTGTTTTATTGTAATTGTGCGTGTGTGTCAACTAAACGATTATTTTTAATGCAAGATAAGTGACTCCCATTATTTTAATAGCCAAAACAATCGATAAATACATCAACTAGTTCACGGTTTATTTTGTGAAAATACGTAAACATTTCGTTTTTTGCCATCAAATCGATAATCGAATATAATTGGGGCGCGACGAAATAAATCATGCGTTCGACAATAAAACTCTAATAAATTTGTCAATATGTGTTATTTCTCTAAAAACATTAACAATAAATACAATTTACAACACGAGCACTTAACAATAAATTAGTTAAAATATATACAAAAAGGCACGTCACTAGGATTATAAGTGTATAAAAAAGTACGAATGGCAGCATAGCTATAATACAAAAAAACTCCCTCAATATGAGGTAAAAAAACTGGCAGTATTTGGCAGTTTCCATGATAATATGGCAGTACATAAGGCTAAAATACTGATTAGTTTTGTAATACCGGACTATGTGATCTCGACTTGGAGACCCACACTGGGCTCTGGGACGCAATTCCCGCAATAGCCCCCACACAGACCCACGACACTTTTCCCCTAAAAAAAAAAAATTAACGAAAATTAACGAATTTTTTTTGGTGAAAAGTTACATAAGTGTCAATCCTCGCCGTGGCATATTTCCCAATGCTGTGCCACCTCACGTTTTCCGAAAGCTGAAACGAGGTCCCCTTCAAATCGATCGAAAATCGGGCTTGGGCACACCCCTCAGTGGCACTGTAACAATCCCCAGCCGTACCATAAGCCACTTTCATACCCTTTGTTTGTCGCGAAAACGTAAAATCGTCACCTAAAATTCCACATAATTCCATAGAATTACCCAAAATTCCACGCAATTACCGATAATTCGCAGAGACGTGATGTTGAGACGCACTTTCCAGAACGTCGTGAAACCGGAACGGTCGGACTCGATCGGCAAGCAGTCACAAAGGTCGAAACGTCGCCCCTCGTAAGGGCACGAATGCGGATTTTTTAATCTAAATTATTTTTTTTGTAAAACAATGATTGTAAAAATTCTTAATTACCGTTTATCGTAATTCTCGGCGTAATTGAGACTATCACCGTGCAAGGTTATATACTCCTCAGGTTGATTCGTGTCCATTTTGTAGCAGTAGACCCAAGCTGGGCGATTTCGAATAGTAATCAAGTAGTCTTTGTTTTCTCTTGTTTTGGTATGGGTTTGAATCTCTTTACAACTCTTGAATAAACCTGGAAAAAACCGGTTAAAAATCGATTAGGTTCGGTTAATATAACCTACATCTCCATTGGTTGCATTTGAGACGACGTTTGGGTCTGGAGTTTCGGGGGCAGTGACGTTTCTCAACCTTTTGACCCGTTTTGACATTCATGCAGTAGATCTGGCGGATACGGCGGCCCTTTTTACCACAGGAATACGAACACTGCGAGAAAAAACGAATAAATAACAGAAAATAGTATGAGGGAAGTTACCTCTTTCCATGGATCGCTCCTCCACACGTAGACCTCCTTGCAGTGCCCCCCGTTGCAGCTCATCTCCTCCAACGGCTTCTCATACAAGTTGCAAAAATCGTTCGGTTTCGCTTTGTTGAAGATCAGAGGTTTGGGGTCGACAGCCCCCCTGCCGTAGACTCTATGACAACTGACGTTTCTCCTCTGCACCCCATGTCCACAGAAGGCCGAACATTGGGTCCATGGAGTGGTGATCCACGCATAGTCGCACATGTATTTCTCGCATTTGGTGGTGGTTTTCGGTTTGGGTTGGTTGTCGCAGAATTGGTCGACGAGAGTGGTTTGTGTTTTGGTGTCTTTGCATTCGACGGTGCGGTGTTTTTGGCCTTCGCCACATGTCGTGGAGCAACGTCTCCATTTACCGACAGACCAGCGGTAACTACGGTGGTTGGGGACGAGGTGGGGGCATTGGGAGAGCTTGCATTTGGCGGTGGGGGATGGTTTGGTGCGCTTGTCGCATTGGGTGTCTTCGACGAAGCTCCCGGTGGAGGCGCGGCAAGTAACCTGGAGGACAAAGAAGATTTACCATTCAATGTTTTGTAACTATCTATGAAAATAAAAGATTAAACAAACTTAAAAGAAAACAGTGAAACTGTATGAAGATGAAAAGGAAAGACAAAAACAAAAATACCTCTAAGAACAACAAACTTATACTTCATTTGGTGGAAGAGAGAAGACGAGAAAAGACATAATCAGAAAAGAAAAGTGAAAATAAAAACAGTAAGTCTTCTAAAAATAGTAAAACAGCAAACTTTTTTATTTGGTAGAAAGGAGAAGACTAGAAAATTAGAAAGAAAGAGGAAAACAGAAACAGGAAGACCTCTAAAAACAGCAAAATAGCAAACTTCTTTATCAGCCAGAAGGGAGAAGATTAAAAAATACATAATCATAAAACACAATTAGGTATTTAGAAAGAAAAGGGGAGACAGAAATAGTAGTAGACTTCTAAGAACAGCAAACTTCTACTTCATGTGGTGGAATGCAGATGACTAGAAAAGACATAACCAAAAAAGAAAAATGAAGACAGAAACAGAAAGACCTCTAAAAACAGCAAAAGAAAAAACCTCTTATTTATCTGGTAGAAGAGAGGAGACTAGAAAGTCATAATCAGAAATCACAATTGAGTATTTAGAAAGAAAATGGAAGACAGAAACAGCAAGATCTCTAAAGCCAGAAAAATTCTACTTCATATGGTGGCAAGCAGAAGACCAGAAAAGACATAATCAGAAAAGGGAAGATAGAAACAGAACGACCTCTAAAAATAGCAAAACATCAAACTTGTTCATCTCGTAAAAAGGAGAGGACTATAAAAGACAGAAAACACATTTGGATATCTAGAAAGAAAAGGGATGACAGAAACAGAAAGACTTCTAAGAGCAAATTTCTACTTCATTTGGGAGAAGGCAGAAGACTAAAAAAATCAGAAAAGAGAAGATAAAAACAGAAAGACTAAAAACAGCAAATTTCATCATTTGGTGGGAAGGAGAAGATCAGAAAAGGCATAATCAGAAAACACAATTGGGTATTTGGAAAGTAAAGGGAAGACAGAAACATAAAGACCTCTAAAAACAGCAAACTTCTACTTCATTTGGTGGTAGGCAGAAGATTAAGAAAAGATATAATCAGAAAAGAGAAAATAGAAACTTCTAAAAACAAAAATACCGCTAAAAACAGCAAACTTCTACTCCATTTAGTGGAAGGCAAAAGACTAGAAAAGACATAATCAGAAAAGAAAAGGGAAGACTTCTAAAAACAGCAAAATTCTTCTTCACCTGGTAGAAGAGTAGAGAGAAGACTAGAAATGTTATAATCAGAAAACACAATTGGGTATTTAGAACAAAACAGGGAAGGCAAACATAAAGATCTCTAAAAACAGCAAAACAGCAAACTTCTTCTTTATTTGCTAGAAGAGAAAAGACTGGAAAAACATATTCTATAATAAAAAAAAAACACAATTGGGTATTTAGGAAGAAAAGAAAAGACAGAAAAAAGAAAGACCTCTAAAAACTACAAACTTCCACTTCATTTGGTGGAAAGCAGAAGACTAGAAAAGACATAATAAGAAAAGAAAAGAGAAGACCTCTAAACACAGCAAAAGAGCAAACTTCATCTTCATCTGGTGGAAGGGAGAAGACTAGAGACGTTATAATCAGAAAACACAATTGGGTATTTAGAAAAAAAAAAGGGAAGGTAAACAGAAAGACCTCTAAAAACAACTTTCACTTTATTTGGTGGAACGGAAAAGATTAGAAAAGAGATAATCACTAAAGAAAAAGAAAGATAGAAACAGAAGGATTTCTAAAAACAGCAAACTTCTACTTCATTTGATAGAAGAGAACTAGAAAAAAACATATTCTATAATCAAAAAACACAATTGGGTGTTTAGAAAGAAGGAAAAGACAGAAACAGAAAGACCTCTAAAAACATTTGGTGGAAGACAGAAGATTAAACAAAACATAATCAGAAAAAAAAACAGGGAAGATTAAAACAAAAAAACCTCTAAAAACAGCAATCTTCTATTTCATTTGTTAAAAATGAGAAGATTAGAAAAGACATAATTAAAAAACACAATTGGGCATTTAAAAAGAAAAGGAAAGACAGAAATAGAAGGACCTATAAAAACATCAAACTTCTACTTCATTTGGTAGAAAGGAGAAGACTAGAAAAGAAATAATCTATAATAAGAAAACTCACTTGTACATTAAGAAAGAAAAAGGAAAGACAAAAACAGAAAAACCTTTAAAAAAAACCTCTAATTCACTTGGTAGAAGGGAGAAGACTAGAAAAGACATAAGATTGGGCATTTAGAAAGAAAAGGGAAGAAATACCTCTAAAAACAGCTAACTTCTACTTCATAATGAGGAAAGGCAGTTGGATATTTAGAACGAAAAGGGAAGACCCCTAAAGGCAGTAAACTTCTACTTCATTTGGTAGAAGCAAGAATTTAAGGAGGTTGAAGAAAGTTGTAAGAATTTAAAGAAAGCAAGATTTGTTACTTACTTGTCTACGTTTTTCGCAATTAAAGTCACATCCACTCCACCCTCCAAACTCCCAATAAGGACATTTGGCCGTATTGCATTCGATGGTGTTAACCGGGATCACAGTTTTGGCACAATACCTCTCATCCTCCTCCCCCAACTCATTTCTACAAACCACCATCCGCGAACTAACCCCCGTTCCACAACTTTTCGAGCACTGACTCCACGCCCCCGTCACCCACTTGAACCCCCTTTCATAACTCACAATCGTATTGGCCAAAATATCGTTACCGTAATCGTACCGTCTCTGGTACGGCAACGACTGAACACAATCGGCCATCTTGCAAAATTTTGTTTCATTTGGTTTGAGGATTCCCGAACAGAAGGAGTCTTGAATGGGTTGATTATCCTCCAAATTCTGGCAAATGACTTGTCTAGTGCTGGTACCATCACCACAAGTGGTCGAACATTCGCCCCATGGGCCTATGGACCATCCAGCGCACGGTCGTTCGTAACATGGTTCCTTCTCGATGTGTTTTTGACGTGAGTCGCAAGCCGATGGGTCGAGGATTTTACCATCGACGTGGCAGAAATACGGTTTGGTACGGAAGCCGCGACCGCAAGTGACAGAACAAGGGGTCCATTCGCGCGACTCCCAGATGGGACATTTCTGGGTGTTGCAATGTTGGTCGGTGATTTTCTCACTGGTGCAATAGGAGTCGTCAATGGTACGGCTGTTGTTGTCCACGCATTTGGCACTGCGGCGTTGGGTACCACCACCACACGAAGAGGAACACTAAATAATAAAAATAAAAAAACAGAAAATTCAAAATAAGGAGTACCTCGGACCAACTGGTGTACTCCCATCGGGTTGATTCGCACCTCCCTTGGCACACCTCCATACTGGGCGGTTTACCCAAAATATTGCAATGTTTATGGTCTACAACTTCATGGTATCTATCGTAGTTTTCTTTGGTCATGTCGATTGTGACACATTGATGGTAAACACTTCGGACCCTAGGAAATTTTTTTTAGAACTTGAGCAAAAAAGGGACTTGTGATAGTACCCTTGTCCACAATTAACCGAGCATGGCCCACGTGATACATCACTCCATTGCAATTGGCAGTGTACATTACAGTCTTGTTTTTGCATGTGGTGTTGTTTTTCATGTTGGGGACAGAAGGAATCTGGTTGTTCCGTGTTTGTGGCTAATTCGACACAAATCGGGGACATGTATTGAGTCCCGCTACATATGGAGTTGCATTTGGACCATTTGTTGCGATAGAGTCTCCAACCATATCTAAGAAATTGAAAAAATGAGACACTAAACCGACTTTGATCGGGTTAATTAGTGATACGACACAAAGGGTTTATTAGAGACAACATTGAGCCAATTAAGTTACCTTGGGATAATTTGCCGGTAGAAATTTTGAATATAATTCAACCTACACAAATGTGATTTTCAAAAAAAGTTTCATACATGATTTTTTTCTACTTACTTTGGGGCACTTTCACGATCTATGATATATCTATAGGTGATATCAGGTGCTAGAGCGTGACCGACTGAAAGTACTCCAAGTACTAAATCTTTGGTGAGCTTGTGGTTTTTGGGTGTTGTTATTCGTTCAATGGCCGCTGAAGAGCCACTATAGCTGATGATGATGCCGGCAAAAATCACGTCTTTCTGTTGCGGGGCGATCATGGTTTTGCTATTGAGGACGTACTCCCCTGTTTCGCCATCTACTAGGACTACAAGGGCTATGAAATCAAAGAAATAAATTTTTCATTGATCAAATACCTAGATAATTAGTATCGTTGTTTGCATTTTGACGAATATCAATGTTAGAACTGCCCTTTGGGAGACGTAGAACGATGTTATAGCCGGTCATGGAGACGTTGTAGTTGCCGGTGATCTCCTCGCATTTGCTGTTGTCGCCGCCGCAAACGCCGCATTCGTCTGCGATCAAAAAAAAATAAAAAAGAGAGAAAAACAGCAAAGAGACGGATCAAAATTGACATGAAAAGAAAGCACAGAGAAGATGTTCTAGTGAAGAAGAGGGAAAAAAAGGATAAAAAACAAGGTTTTATAAGAAAACGGATAATATTAGAAAAAGCAAGCAAAATGCGTCAAAGAGTGAAAAAGGAAAGATGAAAAGAATAACGAAGGGAGAATTCTAAATTCTAAATCAGAGATGAAAAAAAGAAAAGGGTATAAAAATATCTCTAAGAAGGAAAGAGAAAGAGAGAGAAGAAAATGAAAATGGAAAAAGAAAAATAGGAAAGGATGGAATGAAAGTGAAAAGGAGATTAACTGATTGGACCAGTTATAGAAGAGGAAGAARAATGTTGACAAAAAGGAGAATAAAGGAGGAACTATTCTAAAGTCAAAAAAATTCGGAGTCGTACAAAGAAAAGTGAATATTTTCTGGCAAAGAAGGAAAGATAGAAGAAAAGGGACATGAAAAATGAAAAACAAAAAATAGGGAAAAATGGAAGAAAAATGAACAAGAGATTAATTGATTGAACGAGTTAAATAAGAGAAAAAAAAATATAAAAGAAAAAAGAAACGTGGAAGAAAAGCGGGACAAAAAGTAAAAAA